TGGAGGAACCTCCTGGATTGTGGATGGCTGGATAAGTAGTCCCTCCAGAAAACATCATCGTGGGTAGTTAAAATCCCCCACAACAACTAGGGCCTGTGATTGCGAGGCTGCTCTCAGGTGCCTGAAGAAGGCCTTGTCAACTTCCTCACCCTGATCTGGTGGCCTGTAATAGACACCCACAACAGTATCACCCATACCATCCTCCCCCTCAATTTTCACCCACAGGCTCTCAACTCGCTCCTCATCTGCCCCTGGACAGAACTCAATACACTGCAGTTGCTCTCTCATGTAAAGAGAGACTCCACCACCTCGCCTTGCTGGCCTCTTACACTTTTCCTTTTTTCTTCCCTGTTTCCATTTCCATTAACAGGTGAAAACAAGGATACCAAGCATTAAGCTCATAGCCTTGCTCTCCTTTCTAAATTCTTTTTTCTTTCCTGAAGGCGAGTACATACCCTCATATCTTTTTTGTAATTTTTTTTCGACTTCTTCTAAATCTGTCAACTCATCTCTTTCAGTGCTTGAAATCTCATCAGGACTCTGACAAATATTTTTCCTTTTACTTATTTAGGGCAAAAATTTCCAGCCTATTAATCTGAGGGTGACTGATGTGAAAACTGGATACATTTTGAGGCATTACAATATAGTGTTGTATACTTTGAGATGCGTTTGTCCAAATCTAATCAGAATTTAAGTATCTCAATTAAAAGTTTTATTTTTCCAGGTTAAGTTTGATGCTTATAATAACTATAACAGTGACAATTAATTTTAAATTGCTGTCAAGAATTTATCCGAGATACAATCCTACACAGATAAATGAACATAGCGTTTGCACTCATGTTCAGTATTCCTGATTTGCGCATAAACCAATGTAGTGTACTTCAGATGAAGCATGTGCAGTATTTCATAATTCTTTTTTTCTTTCTTTTTTATGTATTAGCTGTGTTTTGTGGTGATCCTGGTACTCCAGCAGAAGGACGCCTCAATGGAAAAGGTTTCACCTACAGGTCTGAAGTTAGCTTTCAGTGCAGACCCCCTTTTATTCTGATAGGCTCTTCAAGAAGATTCTGTCAAGCAGATGGTACTTGGAGTGGAATTCAGCCAACATGCATTGGTAATAACTGCCACTACTTATGCTGTTTCTACTGGGAATATTCTTGATAAACTATTAGACTATAATCTATCTAGCAATTAGCTTTCCAAATATAGAAAATGTCTATGTAATATAAAAAGAGCTAGATAAATAAAGTTATATTTTTAGTATAAAAGTTTTAGGAACAACACAATCACATATGAAGTCATTTGTAAATTTGCATGATTGCTTGTCTGCTAGAAATACAGAATGTCAATAAGTGCAAGCACATAAATATGATCTATCTATTTTTAGAATCTTTTAGATACACAGAAGACTTTGTCAGATTAAAGAGTAGATTCTGTCACTGGAGACTTAAATACATTTGTCATAATCAATTCCAAATCAAAAAGCTTTTTGGACTTTGTGAAAGTAACTTTTACAGCTCAAAAGGATGAAGCAGACTGGGTCTGATCTTTTGAAATTCTGATAAACTGCTAAGTACTGTCAGTTTCTCATTGACTGATGTGCAACTGATGGACTTTTAGCATGTTACATAATCAGACTAATTGAGAGAAATGCTGGACACCTGTAACTCCCACTGACACCAGGATTTGATCCAACTTGGGGTGACTTGAAAATGATTTTGGTGTTATAACAGAAAAATCCTCTTTGATATTTCTAAACAAACACATTCAGACATAGACTGTAGTCCATTTATGTATTTTGCTAAGGCTGAGATATTTGCTATGTGGAAGAGCTGGTGTGGGCACTCTGGGAAACAGTGCTAAGCATGATTATTGAAAGCAGCTTGTATTTTTAAATTATGAATAAACACTCGATACAATTCTTTGATATGAATTCAGAACTCTTTCTGTTGATAGTTTTAATGAACTGGGCAATCAATCTCATATCTATGTTTTTTAATAGGGGCAAGAAGATTTACAAAAGCTAAATATCAGGTCTATTGTGAAGAATCTGATTTGAAAATGTCACAATGACGTTTCTATTTCTATTTTATATAGCATAATATAGAAGTACATGGAAAATACTGCATCAAAGAGAAGTTTTTCTTTTATGTCATAGCTTTTATGTTATCATAAAAAATATATTAGACCATCTAAAATCTTTACAGACACCATTGTTAAACAATTTGAAAATTAAGATCAGTGAACAATATCTAGAACTATACCTAGCAGTTCTATATGATGGCTAATGATGGCAATTTCTATTTCTGGATATTGATAATTTCCTTAAAATACTTCAGTAATTCTCCCTTTTCTTTCCACTGTTTCTTCAGATGAGACGTATCTGAAATAGTCAATCCAGCTTCATGTGTCTGTTATTAGCAATAGCATTCCAATGGATAATAATTTGTAAAGTTCTTGAGCTATTCAAGCAGGATTTTTGTTTTTTATTCTTGGTCAACATCCACCTAACTTTTGAGGCCTTTGATAAATATCATTCCAGTTTATTTGTTATGCTCTATTGATGGTCAACATTGAAAATAGAAGTTGACCAAGAGTTTAATGACATATCACATTATTGTACATGAGAAGTTCAATTTTCCCTCTGCATAAAACTAAAAATGGATACAGATGAAATACAGTTCCAAGTTGTGTTCTTCATAATGTGGTGTCAGCACAAAAGCAGACGTGGTTGCCAAGAGGGAATCACAGAAATACAGAAAGATCCATCGGATCACGTGCTATCTGATAAATGTGACTGGGCAATTCCAAAGCAAATACACCTTCAGAATCTAAAGTGGACATTGCTGAATAAAAAATAATTTCAGGCTACTTTAAATTACACTCATGAAACTGACCATCAGATAATTAGTTATACTCTGTTGATATGCCTTTGGGGTGGGGGGGGCGTGGGGTCTGTCTTTTCATTCTCTAGCAACAATCGAGGTAGTAGTCCATTTGGAACTTTAGTTTTCTTGGTGACATAAAAAAAATTCTATCAAAAAAATAAGCATTTTACTTGCTATAAGAAAGCAGATTATTTTGGGGTGTTTTTTTTTGGGGGGGGTGGTTCTGGGGTTTTGGGTTTTTTGTTTGCTTTTTTTTTTTAAATCTAACTTAATCATTAAGCTGTTCATTGGGAAAGAAGAGAAGAAAAAGATTGCCCTATATGTTCCATCTACATTGTGTATAGTGGGATATGCTATGTAGTCAAAAAAAGTTTAAAAGGATAAGCTTAGCAAAAATTAATGCAATCCTAATTCTGAAGTCTGCACTGCCAAAAATACCCACAAAAAATGCCCTTAAATAATGACAGTATACTGAAACAAAGTACTGTGATCTATCTTGGAAATTAAATTGGAAATACAAATGTAATAGATAGACATACACACATTTTGTTAAAAATTCAATTCTTGTCATCACTAGACATTGATGAAATTACTTAATCTTTGCAAACATTTTTAGAGTATTCTTTCCATATCATAATAATATCTGTCATGTTTCACATTTTACATTAGATCCAGCTCACAATACATGTACAGACCCTGGTACTCCACATTTTGGAATACAAAACAGTTCCAGAGGTTATGAGGTAATTCTTTCTTTTATTTATTAACTTTCTAAATTTAAGGTGCATTTGATAATTATAAATAGTTTAAATTATCTGTAGGCTTAAATGTTGGATGTAAACCTTATGAAATTTCCACTCCTTTTTAATAAAAACTCATGCTTCATTCCAAGCTTTTTTTTTTTTTTTTTTTTTTTTGTTTTAACATACAGCTTAAAGAAAGAACTTCTAACCTTGCAATATATCATATGTTAAATCCTTTAGGAGACTTCAGCAGGGAGAACTATTTATAAATTGATTACCTAATATGATATGACATGATATAATTACTTTGCTTTATGATCATAATTCTTTCAAACATTGATGAATAGTCAGTAAATACCTAACAACCAAAGACCTGTCTGATTCAAAGGCCATGTAGTCCTTGACAAAAAGTCAGCAAGTGGCTTTACTAAATTAGCAATTCATGTTACATTTTATTCAGTCACAGAAGATAAAAATATTCTATGTGTTGGATCCAGGTTCTCTGTGATGAATGTCCTTTCTATAATTTCCAAATTCTTCACAGGTTATTAGTTTACCAAGTGACAGTCAGAAAAGTGACTGAGGAAATAAAAGTAGATGCAACAATGATCAATCCGCAGTCATTACATAGATTGATTAACCTCATGTGGATAGATTCTTCAGGTATAAATATTTGTGATTGGAATCTAAATTATGTTCTGGTCGGGTTTGCTGCTTATTTCTGAACCTAGAGCAGTGTACCATGTAGTATCATGATCAATTTAGCAGAAATGTTTTTTGATAAATCCTTTCTGTAAGTTCCTCTGGTTATTGATACCCTGCAGTTGTGCTGTCTGTCATTGCTGTGGCTGTCAGCTCTTTTCTTCACCTTCTGCTCCTGCCTGGCTTCCAGATGCCAAGGCACTTCTCCCCTAGCCACATCTTGTGGTCTCACCCCTAAGGTGATTCTTCTAGCAATATATGCAATTGTTTTTCTGTCTGTTGTCTCATCTTGACCCAGTACCTGTCCCCATGATCACTTCAGAAACAACTCTAATCTTTGCACCTAATTTGGTCAGGTTTGGGTTTTTTTCTCTCTTCCTTTTTTCTGCCTCACAAGTTGCAGATGACACCAAGCTGGGTGGGAGTGTTGATCTGCTTGAGGGTAGGAAGGCTCTGCAGAGGGATCTGGACAGGCTGGATTGTTGGGCCAAGGCCAATTGTTTGAGGTTTAACAAGGCCAAATGACAGGTCCTGCACTTTGGTCACAACAATGCCATGCAATGCTACAGACTTGGGGAAGAGTGGCTGGAAAGCTGCCTGGCAGAAGAGGACCTGGGGGTGTTGGTTGACAGCCAGCTGAACATGCGCCAGCAGTGTGTGCAGGTGGCCAATATCATCCTGACCTGTATCAGAAATAGTGTGGCCAGCAGGAGTAGGGAAGTGATTGTACTCCTGTACTCGGCACTGGTGAGGGTGCACCTTGAATACTGTGTTCAGTTTTGGATCCTTCACTAAAAGAAGGACGTTGAGTTGCTCGAGTGTGTGCAAAGAAGGGCAAAGAAGCTAGTGAAGGGCCTGGAGAACAAGTCTTTTGAGGAGCAGCTGAGGGAACTGGGATTGTTTAGTCTGGAGAAGAGGAGGCTGAGGGGAGACATTATTGCTTTCTACAACTACCTGGAAGGAGGGAGTAGTGAGGTAGGTGTTAGTCTCTTCTCCCAAATACCGAGTGATAGGACAAGAGAGAACGACCTTAAGTTGCACCAAGGAAGGTTTAGGTTGAATATTAGGAAAAAATTCTTCACTGAAAGGGTTGTCAAGTGTTGGAACAGGCTGCCTAGGGAAGTGGTGGAGTCACCGTCCATTGAGGTATTTAAAGGACGTGTAGATGTGGTACCTGGGGACATGCTTTAGTGATGAACTTGGCAATGCTAGTTTTACGGTTGGACTAGATGATCATATCATTCTTTTCCAACCAAACTATTATATGATTCTATGATTCTAAGTTGCCTGTAATACCAAAATTGTACTAGCCAGTGCACTATTCTAATGTCTGTTGAACATGAAGGCTAATTTTGTATTCTCATTCACCTCTTGAGGCAATAGGTCTTCATGTGTTCTGTATTTAGTCTTTCTCAAGTACGTGCTCTAGCCTGCAGATCACTATCTGGTACAACAAGATGTAGACTTCTCTCCAATTACTACTGAAGTAGATTTTTTTTTTTTTTTCCATATGTGATTAGTGAGGTTTCTAGTTTGTGTGACTTAAAAAAGTTTCTATAAACCAGCTTTTAACAGTTGTTCCTCATTACAGAAAGGTCTGATGACAGGCAGTAGACCTTTTAGAGGGTTTTTCCTCTGTCTCACAGTGTCCTGTCTTGCCCTGTTCATTTTGTGCCTTTTGTGCTTTACTGCGCTGTTACTGTTAGAAATGTCTCCAAGCACCATACAAAGAGTGCATTGCTTTTATTTTTACTTTTACCTGTAAAATGAGAAGGAAATATAACTCTGTAACTACTTTGATCCTAGACATTATTTTTTTGCTTGGTCTTTTGGACCAGTGAGGAAAAAAATTTGCAGGTCATTGTTACTTACTGATACCAGAATTGGCAATTTCACAAGAAGCAAGATGATTTAGATTCAAGACCAGTGTCAATCTGTTCTAGTGTCTACTACAGAAATGCTGTGTGTCTTTGGCAAGATAGAGAGATTAATATGTTTAAAAATATTTATAAAGAGATAAGTGTACAAGCCATATCCGTAATTTGGCCTTTAAAAATACCAGTGAATTTCACAAGCCACTTCAGGAAGAACTGGTGTTGCGTTTTCTGAACACCTATCTCAATAATCTGTTTTTGTGTAACTGGATATATAGTTAACAGGTAGCCGCTTTAGAAGATAACTGCACATTTTTAATGTCCATTGAAGTCCTTCTATGACATTTGCAGTGTAGAGCTATCTGCATTTATATACCTGCAAGCTATTTTATTAATATGCATTGATCACTACCCATTTACAACATACTTTCATTTTTCTATGTGATATGTTACTTTATTAATGGCTCTGAGATGTGCTGGGTACACTGCAGCACACTTGAAGTCCTATGTAGATGAGCCAGGGGCTTATGAGTTAATAGGAGCCAACAGAGAAACACCAGTGAAGTACCTCAAAGGCATTAAGGATTGTACCTCTGAGAAGATGATATGGCTGATGGCCCAGATGATGTTCCTCTACACCAATGCATGTAGCATGGGCAACAAATAGGAGTTTGAAGCCACCGTGCTGCTAGAAAGCTATGACCTGATTGCAATGACGGAAACTTTGTGGGATGAATTCCATGACTACAGTGTGGCTATCGATGGCTACAGGCTGTTCTGAAGGGACAGGTGAGGAAGGAGGAGCAGAGGCATTGCTCTCTACGTCAATAAATGGACACAGTGTGAAGAGCTGTCTCTGAAGAATAGCTATGAGCAGGTTGAAAGCTTATGGGTAAGAATTAGAGACTGAGGCAACTAAGAGAACTTTGTAGTTGGTGTCTACTACAGGACACCTTATCAAGGTGAGCCTATTGACAAAGCCTTCTTACTCCAACTACAGGAAACTTGGCAAGAAATTCAAAGAATATTAAGGGCTTCTACAGATATGTCAGCCAGAAAAGGAAGGTCAGAGAAAGTATATCCCCCTGATGAGCAAGATTGGCAAACTGGTAACAATGGACAAGGAGAAGGCTGAGGTGCTCAACAACTCTTTTGCTTCAGTCTTCTCTGGAAACCTGTCTTCCTAAACCTCTCGAGTAGATGGACCAGAGGGAAAGGACTCAGGGAGCAAAGTCCCTTCTACTGTAAGAGAAGACCACCTGAGGAACCTGAATATACATAGGTCTGTGGGTCCTGATGAGATGCATTCCAGAATCCTGAGGGAATTGCCTGATGTATTTACCAAGCCACTCTCCATGGTATTTGAAAAGTCATGGCAGTCAGGTGAGGTCCCTGGTGACTGGAAAAAGGGAAACGTTGCATGCATTTTTAAAAGGGATAGGAAGGAGGACCCTGAGAACTACCGCCCTGTCTGCCTGGGAAGATCATGGAAGAGATCCTCCTAGAATCTATGCTAAGACACGTGGAGGACAGGGAGGTGATTTGAGACAGCCAGCACAGCTTCACCAAGGGTAAGTTCTGCCTGAACAACCTAGTGCCCCTCTATGATGGAGTGACTACATCAGTGGACAAGGGAAGAGCTACAGATGTCATCTATCTGGACTTCTGTAAGGCCTTTGACATGGTCCCCCACAACATCCTCTTCTCTAAATCTGAGACATACAGATTTCATGGGTGGACTGTTAGGTGGATGAGGAGTTAGTTAGGTGGTCACGTCCAGAGGGTGTCAATGGCTCAATATCCAGATGGAGACAGGTGACAAGTGGTGTCCCTCAGGGGTCCATAATGGGACCAGTACTGCTTAATATCTTCAGCAGTGACACAGACAGCAGAATCAAGTGCACCCTCAGCAAGTTTGCAGATGACACCAAGCTGAGTGGTGCAGTTGACACTCCTGAGGGATGGGATGCCATCCAGAGGGAACTTGACAAGCTTGAGAAGTGGACCCTCATGTGAACTTCATAAGATTCAACAAGGCCAAGTTCAAGGTCCTGCACCTGGGTTGGGGCAATGCCCGATATCAATACAGGCTGGAGGATGAAGGCATTGAGAACAGCCATGCTGGGTACTGGTGGATGGAAAGTTGGACATAAGCCAACAATGTGCACTCACAGCCCATAAAACCAACTATATCCTGGGTGGCATCAAAAGAAGCATGGCCAGCAGATTGGAGGAGGTGATTCTGCCCTTCTACTCTGCTCTGGTGAGACCCCACCTGGAGTACTGTGTCCAGCTCTGAAGTCCTCAGCACAAGAAAGACAGGCCTGTTGGAGCAGATCCAAAGGAGGGCCACAAAAATGATCAGAGGATGGAACACCTCTCCTAGGAAGAAAGGCTGAGAGAGTTGGGGTTCTTCAACCTGGAGAAAAGAAGTCTCCAAGGAGACCTTATTCCATCCTTTCAGTACTTAAAGGGGACGTATAAGAAAGATGGGAACAAACTTTTTAGACAGGCCTGTAGCAATAGGAGAAGGGGTAATGGTTTTAAACTAGAAGAGAGTAGATTTAGACTAGATGTGTGGAAGCAATTTTTTACAATGAGGGTGGTGAAACACTTGAACAGGTTGCCCAGAGAGGTAGTAGATGTATCCAGTTTCCATGCTTTTCTATTCTCAGCAGAAGTCTTAAGAGATATTTTGCAGTTACTTTACCTTTTCTTCTGAGAAAGATCATACCGCAGTTGACCATAGGAAGACTTTCCAGAACATCACTCTGCTGCTTGAACATCACTCTGCTGCTTGAACATCTCAAGTAAAACTTAGGTAGTTTATGGTAACAAATGCAGTGTAAGGAATTGTGGCCTGGAGTTTTGTCTAGTGAATTTATTTCTAGATGGAACAGTTTTTCATAGTTTTTTCTTTTCTGTTTTCCTCTTAAAAAACCATTTTTAGTCAAGTTACACAATGAGAAAGCTTTGAAGCAGACTTTATGGTCAAGTTCTATTGAAATATATGCAGTGATATACAGGAAAGAGAGACATCTCAGTCATTTAGTTTGCTCCTGTCACCCTGACAAACTAATAAGCTGAAATGTATGAGTGTCATTCTTTTCCATGTGCACAGCCTTGTCAATATTTTTTTTCACTTATTGCTTTCAAATAAGCTTACAGAAGATCAATTTCTCAAACTTTTCATTGCATTAAAAAAAAAGTTTAGAAAGTATAAAAAGTGGATATTTTTATTTTTGTCACTGTCTTGATATCTGACTACACATGATGGATACTTCTTTAATACTATGTTTTGATCCTTAGGTTGGGAGCACAGTCTTTTTCAGATGCAGAAAAGGTTATCATATTCAGGGTTCTACCACCCGTTCTTGTCTTGCTAACTTAACTTGGAGTGGCATACAGTCTGAATGCATTCGTAAGTCTGTTTTCTAATTTAATGAGTTAGAATATTATGCAATTTTTCAAAAGTTACAAAGTGATGCATGTGGAAATTCAAAGTAAATTATATGCTATGAAAAAAATTAATTTTATTTAGAACAGTATTTTTAAAAGTTTTTTGTTTCCTGTTCTAAGACCGAAGATGTATTTGGGATATTAATTTGAAGTAAGATTTCTCAGATTTTAATATTTTTTTATTAAGTTCACAATAATTTTATCAATTTTACCCAAAAATTCTGTCCTCTTTAACCCACTGCATTAATTGCCAGGGTTTTTGTGTATGTTGGATTAATACAGGACAGAAAGTAGCCTAAAATATGGATGGGGCTATTTTGCTGCCTAGTATTTTGTCAATCATAAACTAGAACTCGGCAAAATTCAGCTTTTGTGTGCTACACATGGGTATGCAAATGATTAGTGTATTTATAGCTCCATACGGGTTGGAGGACATTAAATAACTATTTTACTAAAAAACATTGATCTAAGCTAGAATTAATGTATTAGAATGACCTTAGATTCTTATTCTATTTCAAATTATCTTTGGGTTGTTATAAAGGAACACCATGGAGCACAGAGACAGAAGCACACTGAGCAACCATATCTGTTATAATCATTGTACTATGTCAAAGCCTTCCTATGGAACCTTTATTTCAATTGAAATTTATAATGAATTTATTTAGCACTATAACCTCTCTGTAATTTTCAAGGTTCTTTAAAACATTGAGTGGAAGTGACAACAGTATAATAATTCACAGGACTAATCATTGCACCATGTACAATGGCATGTGCATTTTAACTCTTTTGTGTTTGCTATCGTGATTCAATACATGATAGTATCATTTCCATCTTCCCACAATAATAAAACTATACACTCAGAGTGTTACTTTTACAAGTAATAGCTACTTTACATTTCTAAAAGTACAAAGTTTACATAATGAAAGGGGATAAGTTGACATGCATTTATTTCAAATTACAGATTCTAATCCTATGGAAACTGTTTACCACCCCTTTTTCTAACTCTGAAAAACCCTTTGCAGCTCATGCATGCAGGCAGCCAGAGACGCCGGCACACGTAGATGTGAAAGCAATAGATCTTCCTACTTTAGGGTATACTTTGGTGTATACCTGTCAGCCAGGATTTTTTCTTGCTGGTGGATCAGAGCATCGGACATGTAAGCCAGATATGAAATGGACAGGAAAATCACCTATTTGTAAAAGTAAGTCATTACTCAAGTGATATGTTGGGCCCTACTTGGCTGGATTTCATTTTCCCCTGACATGTTTATTTTATATAGTAGAATTTATTTTTTTCCACTATTTAAAGATGCATATGACACAACACTTTTTCCTTTATGAAAGAAACAGTAAAAGAATCAGAGGGAGAACAACATCTAGAACTCATGGAGGAAAACATGGGGATATGTGTGTGTAAATGCACAGGAACACATACATATGTTTATTCCTAACTGCAGCAAACAAACAATTTAAAGTATTACTTTCAACTGTATCTTCATGCCACAGTTTTAAAAAGAATTTAAATCTATTCAGTGTTTACTGTATGATTTTCTATTAGGAACAAAGTTATTTCATAGCTTGGCTTTTAGATTCATTCAAGTATGCTTTTTGTCTAAGAAAATCTTCTAAAATAAAAATGAACAATAAAATTTAAAAAAAATACATCTTCAACTTTTATTTATATCCATGTGAATTTCATATAGTTTTGCTAAAGTAACTTGAAGTATATAGTTATGAGGGCTAAATTTGCTCCTCACGTGTGAATAAACATGGATATAAGTTTCCAATTCAGAAAAATAAAAATTAAAAAAATAGAATTTGAATAAAGGAAAATTAGTCAGATGCCATGGGAAAGATGTTTGCAATATTATTTTTAATTCTAATACATTAAAGAATGCTAAATAGATTTGATGTTTGAAAAATATTTTATTTTTCATTAATGTGTGGGTAGCATATTTGTTTCAACATTGTCAAGACATATAATATACATGTAAAAAATTATCTACATATTCTAGTTCCCTAAAGGGTGATTTTTCATGGCTACTCCATAATTAATAATTTGAGATAAATTATCCTGTATGTTTTTGTTAATTTTCTTCTTTTTTAAAGACAAAATACAGAAAATTTTTCTATAAGCAAGAATTTTTTTTTTTTTTTTTTTTTTTTTTTTTTTTCCCCTTTGGTTTACAGTCTTTAGGTATAATTCTCCTGGAATGCCTTTCTTAGCACTTGATCAGTCTAATAGTGAAATTCTGCTCTTAAAGAAAAAAAAAACACAACAAAACAAAACCAAAAAACAACAAGACCAAATCTTACTATGTGATATTAGCTTTTTTAAAGTGGCTAATGGTATGAGGCCAAAACTTGATCTAGGGTCAACGGACATAACTTTCCTGAGTGTATCAGAAACATAGCAAATAACAATGTCTGTGATCCTTTCCCATGTTATCTGATCCCGTCATCTTAATCTAGCTACCTGACTTTTGCCAGTTTGTGTCATAAACGTATCAATCTTTATTAACACAAACTTTACTATATTTATTATACTACTATTCATAATTACATATAGTATCTGTCCCCTCTATAAGGCTCTCTTTTATAGCACTGTGACTGATATAAAAATTTTAGGCCTAAATGTGTGAAATACATGGCTATTCAGACAACTTTTCACAGTAAAAATGGTGTTTACATAAATTATTTTCTGATAGTTTTGTGTAAATGTACAGATTTGAACACGTAAAATATTCAAAATTAGTTATTTCTGTTTTAAATATGTCTCTATTGGATAAGAGGTAATTACATCCATCAGGCATTGTTTTAACATTCTATTTACAAAAAAAAAAAAAAGTGTTCATAAAAATGATAATTTGTCTTTTTACTTGTAGGTAAAGGAGTGAGAGAAGTTAATGAAACAATAACTAAAACTCCAGGTTTGTATACAAGAAGAGTTTTAGATCTAAATAAATTAAATTTATTTATACTCTAGATTGTGAAGGGTAATAGAACTATTTCCAGTATTTAACTTAAGTATTTATTACTTATTTCAAAGGAATGTAAATGTTGAGGTCTTTCATAATAACAGGTGCAGTGTAAAACCTATTCTATGACATTCTTTCCCAAACAACATTTTTTTTAATTTCTACAGTAACAATTTTGTGAATTGCACAAAAAAAAAATATGTCAAGCCAAAAATGTAAAGCATACAGACGCAAAACCCAGATTTGATGTAGTTTTATATCAGAGAGATTGCTATAATGGAGAGCCTTATAATGAGTGTAGATTATAATTGCAGGGATTGGGTTCAGTCAAAGTTCTGCCCTTTACGTTGCAAGTGTTGTAAGAAACCACTAAAAAAAACCTAAACAAAAAAACCCCAAACAAACCAAATCCCCACAGTTTTGGAAATTTTGATGGCATTCATTTCTTGGAAACTCTTAAGATACTCTAAGATAATGTGGACGACCACCAGCAGCAAAAATTACTGCTGCTTTTCTATGCCTTCTCATTAACACATGCACAGTTAACCTTTTCCTCTTGCCAGTGAGGAAATAGACAAATACATCTGATAAATCCTTAATGTAGATCTTTCTAGGTTCAATAATTTTCAGAAAATAAAAAGCCTATTTATTTTTTTTTTTTTTTTACTGGCTTATTTAACAACGAACAGCGTTTTCACCAAATAAATGAGCTTGCAACTCTATATTCCGAATTTTAGCAAGCTGCAGGGAGAATAAGATTAATGGTTCACACTTACGGCAGTTCACAGAAGGACTCTGCAGAGTAGATGGGATAAAAAGGTGTTTCTGATAATAATTAACCTTCTTGGTGAGTTTATTAGTGAGAGTGTCAGGTGAAACCATAAATGAGTTCTTCTCAAATGCATTACTTCTACAGACTCATAATAAAGCACAATATAATGTGCATTCATTATAATTAATGGAGGATTCACCTCACTGAACACCTAAGGTATGCATTAATCTGCTGCCACACAGATTTTGAAGTTTCAATGCCAAATTAAAATATAGATCAAGTCTCCAAATATATTCACTATGCGGAGCATCAGTATCAATTCACACCACATCATGTCCCTTACAACTAGTTTTGATAAGTAAGCACTGTTTGAAAAGATTTTCTTTAAAAAATGAAATATTATGATTGAAAATGCCAATAATGGTAAGCAGAGAACTGAAACTGTGTAACAAATGACAGTAATTAACAAATAAAAGTTTTAAGCTGTTTTTAAAAACTAAGTCTGCACTATTATTATGCCTTTTAAAATTGTGAATTCTCTTTAGTATAGGAAACTATGTATTTTGGAGCATTTTCTTTAACTTCTTATTTCAGCTTTCAGTAGAATTCCATTTGCTGCTCTTTTTATTTTAAAAGGGATGAAGTTAATATTGCTAAAGTAGAGTTTTTGTAACAGAATAGGTTCATGTTCTGATTTCTCATCTTTGGATATGTGAATGCAAATTATGTTTATTATTGTTCATTAAATTACTATTTTTTTTTCCAGAGTTAATGTTTTAATAAGCAATATTAACTATCATTTTTACAGTACTGTAAATTATAATACAGTAAAAGTTGTGACTAAAGAATTCTCACAATACCTATGCGAAGTTTAAGAACTACAATACAGTGTTTGGTTACCATGGTTCTCACTGCTTTGTATAGTCTTTGCAAAAATAGTTAGGAAGGTGTTTTAATAAGTAGCCATGGATTTTCCCATTTGTCACATTCCAAGGAGAATCCACAGTTGGTTCAGTATTAGTATAATAATACCCAGTTCATTTTTCTCACTCTACATTTGCCCACAGTGGGTGGGAAAGGCAGGGACATTGCAAGGACTTGGCAGAATTGGGTCAGAGCCAGCCAGTTCCTCAGCAGCATCTATGGAACTGCAGCGCTTGCATTTTAACCTTTTACAAAAACATGACTGTGGAAGTGGAAATATATTTTGCTATTTTCTTCCTCTAATGATTCTGTCCATCTGCAGCAAGTGCAAATTCTGTAAATACTGAGTCAACGTTACTATTTTGCAAAGATTAACAGCTATTATTGACAGTTAGATTAGTTAGAGAAACAAGATACTGAAGATGTTGAGTGAGACTGAAGAAGCATGGTGTCTGCCCCTTTGTAAGTGTCTTACGTGGTACCTATCAGGTTCATACCAGTAATACTAGATTATTACCTTCATGAGAATAACTTCAGACACACAATTTTAATTTAAAGCAAAGAAAAATGAAAAATAATTTTAACATTCAAATTTACTGTATGTCAATATTGTAACAAAGCAATAAGGAATATAAAGAGTCTGAAAGATACTTTACAGAATTAATATATTTGAAAAAAATATATAAATTCTGAGGACCGTGAGATACTAATTAAAATTTAGTGCTTCAGATTTTTAGCATTAAGTTGAGGCTACCTTGTATGAAGCCACAGTTGTGCACTGAGTTTTACTTTGGGAAGAGAGCACTGAAGATTCTCTGAAGTTGTTGTACTCAAAGCCATATAGCAGGTCTCCTCTCACTTAGAATCCAGTGTAGTACAGACGACATACTAATGATGTTTTCAAATCACGCCACATTAAGCTTGAACATTTACTTGTGGCTTTTGCACAATTTGAAGGCAAAAGGCAGTAAAGAAATTATGCTTCTTTATTAAATGCACACCAGGAAGTGTAATAATATGATTAAGAGACAGTCAACAGCTAATCAGTCTAAGCTTAGAACTAAGTAGAAAAATGTCTATTTTCAATTGTCGAAAGCTGCCTGGAAACACTGGGTGCTGACTGACCAGGAGGAGGGTTGGTCTCTTTTGGCCAACTTAACTGTTTGTTTAATGTAACCGTCATATTTGAAGGAAGTCTCCCCCAGATTTTATAACAGCAAATATATGGGAGAAATAGAACAATGTGTAGGGGAAAAATGAATATTCAAGACATGTAACACCCTGTAAATGTACCTGGCATAAAATGAACATCTCTTCTCCTAAGAATATTTTTCTCTTCTCTTTTTACTTTTTAATTAATTTTAGTATTGCAGATACTGTCAAATAAGATATACTTTTTCTGCTCTTTTTGCAATTTAGCCAAATATTTAAAATACAACATTTAATGACCTGTAAATAATTTTTTTTCCTGTATAGAGGAAAATGCCAATAACATCAAATAAATGACCCACATACATATACTTCTTCCTATAATTCACGGTTCATTGTATACGTTTTTTACTTCAGATTATTCAAACTGCATTTTCTGAGAAACAGACCCTTTATTTACACCAAAAAAGTTCTCTGCTCTGGCAACTTCACTGTTCACAGGTGCAGCAATATTGCATGGAGAAAAGATGTGGAGTCTAAAAATGACTGATAAAAACTTGTGCTACACTGTATCTGGAAATCAGTGAATTCAGTTGACTGTTCAGTTGATATCCAGTCAAAAATCACACACAGTGCTGCTTTAATAGATTCATGAAACAAAAGAGATGGGACCAAAGACAGTGTCTTCTTCCAGGAATTCCTGACTTAAGAATATTATTTTATTTTTTTTTCATCATACCATAAAGCTACAAGGCTTTAGAGGAATAGTCCATTATTTTGCATTCAATGAAGCATGCAAGCCATGAAGTGTGAGGTTAGTTCAGAATATATATTCTCCTGGACATGTGTAGTATATTATAGGCAATTGTATGGAAATGTCATTCAATATATTGTCTTTATTGGTGTAAAATTTTTACTTTATTACCTCTTTAGAACAGTGGATTGATGCTGTAACAGAAAAAAATAAAATCATAAATATGGCTAGAAAGATTGCTAATTTGTTGTTGTTTTCTCCTTTGTTTTTTTTTTTTTTTTTTTTTTTTTTTTTTTGTCTGCTTCTATTTAGTTCCCTCAGATGTGTTTTTTATAAATTCACTGTGGAAAGGGTTTTATGAATATTTAGGAAAAAGACAACCTGCTACTCTGACTGTCGATTGGTTCAATACAACAAGCAGCAAAGTGAATGCCACTTTCATTGAGGCATCCAACATACAACTCAAACTATCAGGTATGTTCAGAATTTGGTGTTAAAAAAGCTGTTCTTTTAAATTTTTTCATCTGTTCAGTTGTGGTTTTTCTCCATTATTTAATAGTGACTAATGTCTGCCTTAAAATAATGTGGTCTTGATGGCATAACAAAAAATAGTCACAGATAATTAAATAATGCAGTAAATTATGCATACTTTTTAATCAACTTCATGAATTCTTTTCTGCAAATCTGACTGTGAAGTTCTGATTTAGCCTCTGATCACAGTTATATTTGAAAAGAGCATTATCAGCTATCAGTACATTTTAGCGTCAACCATTCAGAGAGAATTTCAGTAGCTGATTTCCAAACAGTAAATTTTCTTTCACTGCACTATTGATATTTACTATAGCAATACACTGTTGTGATGTGACTAAAATCCAATTTCTTCCACTTCAAGGAAATTCCAGGCAAGGAATTCTATCTTATTCAGAATTATTCAAATACTGCATGAAAAGACAAATATTCTTGCCCATTTATGCATAAAATTAAACAGTACAAAACCATCTTTGTATCCTGTTATCAAATACGATGTGGGCAAAAGATTAGTAAAATAAGATCCTGTTATTACAGCACTTTAAATCTTTTTGTTTTTTCCCCTGGTTATAAAATCCTGCTATTATAGAATGTTTATTACAAAATATTTTAGTTCTAATGCAATATACTTAGCTTTGAAGGGGTATTTTAACAAACTGGTTGAAAAATTGTTTAAAAGGCATATGTTGCCTCCTTTATCTTAATAGGTGTTTACAAGAAAGAAGAAGCCCATTTGCTCTTAAAAGTTTTTCAGATTAAGGGACCTAGTGACATTTTTGTAAGCAAGTTTGAAAATGACAACTGGGCACTCGATGGTTATGTAAGTAATCAGAAACTACGGATAAAGCTTGCTGAGTTTAAAGTTTGAAGTAATTGTGAAGTAATTGTTTGAAGTAATTTGTGATTTCCTATATAACTCTATCCAACATTTTATACTACAGGTATGTAATACATCACTCTAGATGTCAGTGTAGAGAAAATATTATTTTTCTTTTCAAAGATACTTATGCAAACTTCCATATACCACACTCTTATTAAAATTCCTAGTTTACGAAGGGGAAGTGAATCAGCATATTTTGCCATGTTTTTGCCTTGTTTTCTTAGATAAGGATAGGAATTTTATCTTTAGAAATATTGTCTTTTTTTTTTTTTTTGCTTGTTAAATAGTTCACTGTAATAAAATTACATTTAAACTTGAAGAAAAAGAGAATTGTTTTACCCTTTCAGTTCTTGTTTGTGCCTCATTATGCTTTACATGAAAAATAATAAAGTAATTCCAAATCTTATTTTTAAACTTTACTTGATACTGTTGCAAACTTAAAGTGGTAAATATTGTATAAGCATAGAGAGTTCACTCATGTTTTAAAGGATAAAAGTGAAAAATCTGGGCTCCATGTATCTAAGTCAGAAAAACAAATGCCTAACCTTTTTATTTATTTGTTTCAGAATTCCTTTTTTTCTGTTTCAACATATTCTAGGTATCATCAGGGCTTGAAAGAGGAGTTTTTACATATCAAGGTGATATACATGGAAAAGACTTTGGAAAATTTATGCTCCAAAGACAAGGTATATGCATGCGTAGAGCTTTAATATGTATAATCTTTTGAAGTCTTGCAAGAATGAATTAAACAAATGACTTAAGCCATCTAGGCTGTGTTCCCTAGTTCAAGAAATACCAGAAACTACTGGAACGAATCCAGTGGAGGGCTACAAAGATGATTAGGCCTGGACCATCTTTCTTATGAGAAAAGACTGAGACACCTGGGTCTGTTTAGCCTGGAGAAGAGAAGACTGAGAGGAGACCTTATCAATGCTTAAAGGGCAGATGTCAAGAGGGTGGGTACAGACTCTTTTCAGTGGTGCTCATTGACAGGATAAGGGACAATGGGCACAAACAGGAACACAGGAAGTGCCATCTGAAGATGAGGGAAAACTTTTTTACTTTGAGGGTGAGAGAGCACTGGAACAGGCTGCCCAGAGAGTTTGTGGATTCTCCACTTTAAGAGATATTAAAAACCTACTTAGACACAATCCTGTGCAACCTGCTCTAGATGAACTTGCTTTAGAGGGAGGGTTGGACTAGATGATCTCCAGAGGTCCCTTCCAACCTCTACCATTCTGTGATTCTGTGATTCTGATTCTATGAAGTAATCATGTTTCTTTCATGCCACTGCTATTATAAAAAATGTAGTAAAATATGCATATTTTAAATATACAGTTCAAATCCCAATTTAACTCTGCTTAACATGTTAATATCTCATGTTTACTAGTATAGCAACCTAATAAGATGACTATAGAATGGTCTTAAAGAGAATGCCATTGCAACTGCTTGCTTTTCTGTGAATGTCTTTTTGATAGTAACAGGTATTCCATGCAATGCAAAGATATTTTCTGCTCAAAGACATAAATTGCAGTTGGAATCATAAAGGGAATTAAAGGGACAGAATCAACATTGATTTTAATGGTGTCCTTTGCAGAGTGCTTCTTGCTGGTGGATATTTTTATCTATATATATTTAGACAGAATTCTGTTTTGCTGTCAAAAATATGAAATGAGGAACTGAGCTATATTAGAGCTATGAACTCAAGTGTTCCAGCAGCTGGTGAAAAACTAGTTATTTTACTCATAAAATAATTTTGTCATAAAACCTAATAAAACATTTACTCATGAAATATGTATTCATAAAATAGTTTTGGCAAATATCAAGTGTAGACATCTACATATCCTGCTTCTGGAACTACTGCAGAGTGGTCAAAGCACAGTATATGTACAGCAAAGTACCAGGATAGGAGGGGAGCCTAGCCACTATATCTACACAAGCTGTATCTACTTTTTTATAAATTGCCTTGGTTCCATTAACTTTATTGGTGCTGTACACAATGCCCTTTAAAGTTCTGTCAAATCTCCCTTGTATTTCTTTGCTCTGTTAACTGCTGTAATAGCAGTTATCTTATGGATTTGCTCATCTTGGCCAGCTCTCAAATTGCTGCATATGTTTAGTCACAAGGGGTGGAAATCTTACTCTTCAGAATCTCAGCCTAAAATCTGCCTATTACTGAAGGCGAATACAATTTTAGTCTTCAGAGTAAACACTTGTGTGGGGCAGATTATTTGTCTGCCTGTACTTTCATGTAATCCTTATCACTGTAATATCTAAGCTGTTTTTTCGTTCTGATTTTAACATGTACACTATAAAAACAGAACATTGATTTGTTCAAAAATCTGTCTTGTTTAGCAGCCTTTGATATCTCAAAACAGTGAGAACATGTTTTGTTGGTTTGGGGGTGGGGGAGGGGGGTCTGTGTGGTTTTGGCCTTACACCAGGCCAAAAAAAGATATCCATAGTTTGCCAGCTACCTAATAAAAGTTTGGATCCATGTGTTTTAGCATTGAAATTAATAACTCATGGAGGTAAATGAACAGGCAGAATGACGATTCATCAGTTACAGCATTCTCCAGTGGGTGTATTCGACGGTAGTAGAAAATATTGTCCACATCACCATTTAGTCGCAATATGAGAGATCAGTTTGTATATTCCCTGGGTTAGGAGCCAAAGTGTTCAAGTTACACATACATTCCTACACCAAGGGCCTCTCATCTTCAGCTTTGACATCTCAGCACAAAGTTTGCTACAAATGCAGATACTGTCTCTTTTAGATTTCTTTATGTAATTACTAAATAGGCACTGATTTTCTCTAAGTTGCTTGTTGTTTATTGAAGAACCTACAGCTAAAAGGAAATAGCAAATTTCCAGCCAACACAGGTCATATTTGTCCATGCCCTCTCATATTCAAGTACAACTTGCTTTGTTTTTTAATTCTATTCTGTTCATTAATATTCTGCTGAGATAATGATCTCGTATGTCCTCCAGCTGAGGACTTAACATATTTCCATTTCTTTGGGAAGTTAAATTATTTGCTGCCTTTACATTAAGCCAGAAGTATGCATAAAGTATGTATGCACTGGTGCATACAGAATGTAACAGTAAATTCTTCACCTGCAAGCATACTTCAAAGAACAGCATTTACTGATAAATACTTGGTTAAGTGTGAAAAAACAATTTGATGAAGAATTCCCTATTACACAATACTAGAGAAAGACCAGGCTTAATGGATGTGCCCAGTTTTGGAATGTAATGACATGAAAACAGAAAGAACTTTTGTTTCTAAGTACTGTTTATCCTCTTTCAGAAACTATTCTGTTTGCTTGTAGCCTTAGAGAATAACCCAAAGGGCAAAGAGATCTCTGTTACCAATCTACCAAAAGAATTAGAACTGTATCTGAGCCTGCTTGAGGGTCCAAGTTGTGTCACCGAATTATTTAACCTGTTTTGCCCAGTAATCAGTCATTGCTGAGGGCTTTTTGTTTGTTTTGTTATGTTTAAAAACTTGGTCTCTAAAGGCTGCAAGTCTGCGACTAGGTTCAGTTTCTGTAATTGCAGAGTGTCTGTGCCTCACCACTACAGTTCTAGAAGATGTTTATTCTAAAACTTTGTTTATTCCAATCTAGCCCGTCCTTTAAAATTGTTTGAGAAGGTGTCTTTGTAAGTAAAGAAACTTACTTCACCAAATTATTATTTTCCTATATTTACTTTCTCTGGGAAAATACAATGACCCACTTCTCTTTCCTTTCCTTTTCTTTCTTTTTTTTTTTTTTTTTTCCTCCAAAGTATAACAAATACTGACAAGAAATAAGAAATATGAATAATTCATGACTGCCTGTGATATATTAGGTCAATGGCTGTAAAATACATGTTCATTTCTTGAAACTGATTAACTTTTTAAAATGTTGAACGTCATGAGACCTGTAAATTTTAAATTTCATTCTATAACAGTGTCATCCTTCCTCTCCAGATCATTTCATACAACTTTCGTCATTCACAAAGAAACTCTACATCTAAACACAGCTTCAGAGTACAAAACTGTTACCTAATGCACAAATAGCTAGAACTAATGAGCTATGAGACTACATATTAATATACTCCTCACACCCAATAAGGTACCTAAAGAGTCTTTGCTATCCAGCAGTTATCAGTCAGGTGAAAACGTCCAGCCTCTGTTCCTCCTTGGAAGCTGCTGACCTGCTTTGTGTGTCTATATTTTTTCTCTTAAATCCTTGAGCTGCTAACCATCCTTGTGTCAGAAATTACTCTTCTAACTGTAATTCTTCTTTTCTTATCTTGCGTAGCTTTTGCTGTCATAAATAGCAGTTCTCTTAGTAAAACTGAGCCATGCTGTACTGATGTGAGACAGTTGAAACCCTGGGCTAGGAGTTACAGGGAAATGAAATTGAAAGCTCCAAACAATGATAAGGAAATACTCTTCATGAATATATTCTTACAAAAATTATTTCCCAGCATGTATAAAGGAAAAAACTCAGTAACCATCTATAGGTAGAAGTATACAACTTGCACAATAACAATTTCACTGTGTGTTTTCAGGACTATGAAAATTTTTTTAAAAACATTTATAATCTTACTAAATATCTCTCAATTAAATAATGTTTCACAATCACGAAGTATAGCTTTTTTAATAGAAAGAAAAACAAACTATATTTTGCATTATTTTTTTGTCTATTATCATGCAGATATTTCCAGTATAATAGGCTTTATACAAAGTTAACATCAGAATATGTTTAATCACAAACACCTCTGAAAATTATTGTGAATAGCTGACCAGAATGTGTTGAAGTTATAATGAGTCTCATATATTAATAAAATTCAAATTATCCAGAATTACAACAAAGTTTCTTTTTCATAATAAAAAACACATCAATGCACAGTCTGAACCTGGTCAAAACTTATCCAATGCCAACAAAATGTTGTAAACTTACAATGAAAGGTTGTAAGCTTGGTTACCCTAAATATGGTACTTTAAAAACTGTAGAGATATAGAATATTCAATTACCTCCAATAGGAGTTTTTGAGTACTAAGTATTAAATGTGGGTCAGTTTTTGGAGATAACTCAAAAAGAAATTCGCTCAGTGTAAGTTAATGCCTAGTTTTAAATGTCCATTTACACAAACAAAAATGTATTTAAATTTTCAAAAAAAATTCATACAAAAATTTCATACCAATAATTGCTTATTATTAATTTTAAACTATGTTTTCTTTTAGCTGACTTCTAATTAGATATTTTATATTTTTTCTGCTATTTATACATTTGCTGATATAAGCTGACTACAATGAATTTAATCATTACCATATTTTTATTAATTAATCCAAATAGTTGGAAAAACAGCTGGGGATTGTGCTAGTAAAGGATTAAGGCAGTGATAACTGCATGCAATTTTTAAAATTTCTTTCACTTCTTCTAACCAATAAAAAATTCTAAAGAAACATTTAAATTAACATTTTTAAAACTTTTCTTAACAGTGGTAACTACTTGATTCTGTCTTTAATTTAGATTAGTTGGAGAATGTCCAGTATGTGTGCAATACAATACAAATACATAAAATTATGCCAACAGGCCTCCCATATCTTGAATGTTGGGACAAATACTGGAATACTAAAGTCCAAAGATTTTTATAGTACACTGATTCTACTCTAAAGCAGTTCAATGTTAAT